GGGGGTGGGCACAAGGGGTGAAGGGAGTCATATATATGGTGATGGACAAACAAAAATGTACAACCCAAAATTTCACAATGTTAGAAACCATTAAAACATCAATAAAAAAAAATAGGGCAAGGATATAAATAGATGTTTCTCAAAAGAAGAAATTCAAATAGTGAACAGGTATATGAAATGGTGTTCAACATCTCAATTCATTAGGGAAATGCAAGTCAAAACAACAATGAAATATCTCCAAAATATTGAAGAGGAAGGAACACTCATATAATTCACACTCCTGATGTTTTCTCTTTCAGGAAGATTTTGCAGATCCATCAACTGACCAAAAGTGTTTCTGATTCTTGCACTGTTTTTTTATTGCTATTCAGCTATACATTTACTCTATTTCAAATAATCCTTTGCCATATAATATTGTTTATTCTTACAAACTATGTTTTTCCAGTTTGACTGAGTCAGAAGATTATGTGCTGTATCTTTGTTTTTCTTTGTCTCTCTCTTTTTTTCTAGCCATAAAGCCAGCACAAGTTAAGCTATAGTTACAGAATTACATTCAAAGGTATTATCTTCTCTTTTTATTTGACTGTATACATTGTTCTCATATATCTAGAACTTGCCCCTTTGTCTTTAACCATCATACGTTAATAATACAATAAAGTCAGAAAGGCTAAAAATTTAACATGCAACCCCATATAACTATCAGGGAGGGGATGAAATCCAGCAGCCTTTCTGCCTCTTATAATGTCTTTTCCCTTATGCAAGACTCTTATGCAATAAGGAGGTACTACTCTTTTAATTATCATTCATCCCCATGTCCTTTGAATCACATAATCCAATCTTGGGGATTGGATTGGTCTTGAAGATGGGTCAGGGGAAAACTCATCCCACTAGAAATAATGCTGTGCAACAAAACCAAAACCCTTTTATTATTATGTGTTTTCTTTTCTCAATGGCCTACAAGATTTTATTGACAAAAAATATGAGGACATTATATAATAACCCCACAAAAAATATATTGACCTGAGATTCATTATTTGCTTGCTAGGTGTTCTCTAGAGGATTCACTTTCCAGCTTGTAGCACAATGCCTATTATCTTCAAAAATATCTGTCAGGTAAAGGTATAGAAGTACTTGATAAAATGTTTTGCTCAGCATGTGAGTATAAACACAGAGTATTTAAGAAATATTTATGTTATAAATAAAATAAGAAATATTTATGTTATAAATATATTCCATTCATTTACCTAGGAATTTATTGATAATTTAAAAATCCACCAATACTAAATTTTAGTAAATGAATACCTTAACCTACTAATGAACACTCATATTACCCAGACACACTATTTTAGTCCCAGGACTGTTAGAAATTACCAGGTTGGAAGAAGCTTAGAAGTCTTGGATGAGACCTAAAGGAAAGACTGGAGGCCAAAACTAGCTGTGAGCGACACAGTTCTATTTGACTTTCCGTCTGAGTCACATTATCCCAATCCCTCACTCTTACCCTTAATTGTATATCCATCTTTAGGCATCTGTTGAGAGTGCTAATTTAGTACTTGTAGACTATTCTAGTATTCTCTTCAACACCTGAGAGAAGTCTATAAATATGGTGTCACATATGGTAGATATTTCAAAATATTTTTTTCTTGTTTTTGCTTTTATTGTTAAAGAATCCTCCCATCATGTTAATCAACATATCAATCGCCTCACATTTTTTTTTTTCTGGTGAGGTCATTTAAGTTCTACACTTTAGAAAATATCAATTATATAATAGTGTTATCAGCTATAGTCACCATGTTATACATTAGCTCCTCAGACCTTATTCATCTTATAGATAAAAACTTCTACCTCTACAAACCTCTATTTCCCCCAACCCTCCAGCCTCTGGCAATCACCTTTCCACTTTTGATTTTTATGAGATTGACTTTTTTATTTTCTTTTTTTCTGTTTTTTAGATACCACATATAAGTGATACAATACACTGACACCGGCTCAAGACAAGGTTGACATAAAGGAAGCCATATTATAGAAAAGAAAAACTCTATCATAACTTTAAATGACCTCTGACAAGCTAACCCAGCTGGATCTGCACCCTCCAGGAGATCTAACTGTTCTGTCGCTTTTACGACCCCTGCTTGTGCATGTACCTCCCAGCTGCGATAAGATGATAACTTAATTTTTTGAGTTACTTAGCAATGTGGTGACCCCCAAACAGAGGATCTATGCTGATAGACATCATCAGTGAAAACTGAAAGATCTGGTGTGGCCCTCGCAGTCTGTAACACCAGAGGGTCAACATTCCTAACCCTCTCCCCAATAACCCAATGGCCTATATAACTGATGTAAGATGTTGTGCCCCCTTAAGATGGTTCTTTTGGACATGAATGGGCCATCTTCCCTCTTGCTAACAAGCGGTAATAAAAAGTCCTTTTTCTCCTACCACCTTGCCTCTTGACTATTGGCATGTCTTGCGGTGAGCAGAAGGCCTCATGTTGGGCGGTAACAACACTGTCTTTCTCTCTCTGTCTTATCCCACTGAGCATCATGTCCTCAAGGTCTATCCATGTTCTGGAAAATGGCAGCATACCTTTATTTCTTGTGGCTGAATAATATTCATAAGTATATATAATCACATCTTCTTTATTCATTCATCCACATAGGTTGTTTCCATATCTTGGCTATTGTGAATGATGCTGCACAAAGAAATCTTTATTTCAAGTAGTTCATCCTTTTCTCTGTACAAAAATAACCAAATTTCCCAAAACATTTATTTATTTATTTATTTCAGTTTGAGAACAGTCACTGTTTATTTACTGACCAGATTACAAAAGTAATCACGGTAGACACCTTAGTTCATCCTTCTAATAAGCCTATTGATCTGGTCTTCCCTGTTGCCAGCATCTCCACCTTCCACAAAATGGGTGGTCTTTTTCTTCATTCCACCTCATGGAGAAGATAATTTGAAGGGCCATAGGAAATTGTTTGCTTCTTTGAAACGTTTTCCAACAGTATAGATCTCATGAATCAGATCCTCCATGCAAATGATGCCAAATTTACCCAGAGATCGAGCAATCAAGGCGTTATCTGTCAGGGCAATTTGCTTCTTGTTAATTTTGCCATAACCACGCTTGTAGATCAACTCATTTACTGACTTCAGGTTTGGGTACCCCCACACGATATATGGTTCCACAATCCTCAGCATGTTGATGGAAGCCTTGTTGAGCTTAACAAAGGTGCCGTTGAAGATCTGGCAAAGGCAAAGAAGCTGCAACACCTTTCGGACCTTTGGGCTCACACCATTGATGCCTCTGATCCTGATGACAAATGCCAATTTTGGTTCCGCAGGTACATAGAAGTTGCCAGCTTTTCTTGTCATCCTAGCCATTCAGATCTTGATTCTGTACATCCGCCTAAATTCCTTGTGGTAGTGCTTAGCTTTTTCATAGATAAGCTTCCTCCTTGCCTTTCGAAGCATCTTTTGGGCAAACTTCTTTCTCAGGCACTTGATCTTCAGCTCTGCGAAATTCTTTCGCTTTTTCTTAAGGGTTTCTGGCACAGCAGGAACCTTCTTCTTGTCTTCTGTACCCTCCATGGTTCCAGCCGGAAAAAGTCCCAAAACATTTAGATTTTGCCAAATATCTCTTAGACTAGCTGCCTCATCTGAAAATGCACAAAATAGTCTTATTTTACTTCACCTTCAGATATTTTTAATGTAAAATTAACTATAATCTGAATTGAATCCATCACAAGGAAAATTGGACTATCAGCTAAATATATCAGAGGAGGTTGGAGGGTCTTAGATATGGACCTCAATATTTCAGTCCAGTTCTATATTACAGCCACAGTGATTAGAATAGGTTCTCACATGCAAGTGGTTCTGAAGGGGTGTGATATGCTGGTGTGTTATGGTGCAGGAATTTAACCTCTTGAGTCTGTAAGACCTGGTTATGATAGGCTAGCTGCATGACTTTGAACATTGCCCACATGAAGCTTCTACTTTAATTCTTGTTATACAGTAGATATCCTATATGTGCTTGTAGTAGTTGCTTTTGCTTTTAGGATTTCAGAGAATTTAAGTTCCTTCCTTGTCCAGAGATATTAAGCAGTGTGGTTAGTCAGAGGTAATCAAGATCTATGACTTTCAAATTTTTAAAAACTGTGCTGCCTACCTGTCAATTAGCAGCAGCAACAGTTCTGCTCTTAATAATAACTTCAAAATAAACACAAGTGTTTTGTTCTTTCCCCAGCTAGGGACATCTATTGATAAGGAAATGCAGATGGAAATGTTGGTGATTTTCCATCTGAAGTCAACTATGGACTTGACTGGAACTTCTTTCCTGAGGAACAATGTTGTGCCCTGACTTTACTTTTTCCTTAGAAAGAAGGAGAAACATTGGAAGCCCCTGTTTGCCCTGCCCAGTGTCCTGGCTCCATTCACTAAATATCCTCAAAGTCTACCAGTGGTATCCTCCTTCTCATGAGCAAGTTCTTTCAGACTGGATTGCCAAGCACTTTTAGCATTTTATGCTCCCTAAATTCTTTAACTTTCCTAAATGTTTTGCTGTCACTAATCTTATTTAGTTGTGCCTCTCCAAAATGTAAATTCTATGATAAATTTATGATAACATATGTATAATCATATCCCTGTACCACACCTACATCTAAAACATAAGGATGGGCAGAACACTATGTGTTTTCCTTAAATATATTTCTTTTATTCCAACTGCAAAAGCTTTGTTACTGCATTAAGACTTTCTTGAGGGCCCCTTCTTGCTTGAAATTAGTTCTTTATCAAACTGCTTCTTATTGCCCATGCAAATATGCTTTAATCAAGCTCTCTCTTCAATTCATCTAAATAACGAAGCTACAATTGAATTCACCTCTAAATCCAGCTGGAGAGGATTCACATAGACTCTGTAGGCCCATTGCAAGTAGGCTTCTGGCACGCTACACTCTCCAGAATGCCTGACCTGTCCAGTGTGCTGAGATTCCCGCCTAATGTGCCTCATCCAAATGCGTACATGTTGTAAGAAGAATGGCCTTAGAGTTTTTGTTTTCTGATCCTGAAATGGCTATATAATCTCATTTTAAGCCCAAGAATAATTTATTTTTCCATTCATGACCTTAGTTTGGTTATCTGCTCTTTAAATTTATTACAAACAAGATCTGGAATGCTCTAAGAGCAAGCCGTATACACATGCGGCATATTGTTTCTCTAAAACCAGGTATGATTCCTGGTATGATGCTAACTCTACATCTAATTGACAATACTTTGGGGCTAGTCATGTAATTTTATGATATAAATAAATGCCTAGAAGTAGAATTAATGGAACATAGCTTATTGTACCTTGAGTAGATATTGTCAAAATGTATTTCAACGTTTGGGTAAATTTTTTACGCTACTACCAGCAATGTATGTGTTCTCTTCCCACATCGGTAATTTGTGTTTTTTTCTCTTTCTCTTTTCTCTTCATTGATCTTGATAAAATTTTCTAAGTTTTATTAACCCTTTTAGAAAACCAACCTTTGCTTTTTTTATTCTCTATTTAGGACTGTTAGTTATGTCATTGATTTCTTTCCTTAATTTCTTATATCCTTATTTCCATATTTTTTTTATTTAATTTGCTTTTATATTCCTAGACCTTGATTCTTAGGATACTTATAGATTGTCGATTACCAAACATACTTATTTTTAATGATAGAGTTGATATCACTACACATTCTACAGATTTTAGGATAATAAGGGAATATAATGAGCATATTAAAGTCAATGTATTCAACAACTTAGAATAGACAAATCCTTTGAATGATGAAAGCTACCCAAGCTCATTATAAAATAAATAATATATATTTTCAATAGCCCTTTCCATCTTAAAGAAATTTAATATATTGTTTTGTCTCCCTACTCCTTGTCTAGGTAGCTTCAATGGTGGATTCTACCAAACATTAAAGAGAAAATAATACTTATTCTATCCAAACTCTTCTAAAAAGAATAGAAGTGAATATTTCTGAACTCATTCTATCAATCCAGCATTTCTCTGAGACATCAATTATATAAGCTTATTTGTACATTCCTTAGCATTTTCTATATAGACAATCATTTTCCTTTGAATACAGTCTTACTACTCCTACTCAATATGAGTGACTTTCATTTTAATGTGGGTTTAGCATGGTTGTAGGATATAAGGTCAATATATAAAAATCAAATGCATAGTTTGTGCCAGGAACTAACAAACAGAAATTGGATTTTTGAAGTTCATTTATAATAGCATTAAAAATATAAAATACTTAAGGGTAAATGTGACATGATATAAGGAAGACATTACACTGAAAACAAAATATTTGTTCAGAGATTATAAACACCTTAATAAATACAAAGAAATACTGTGTTCATGGACAGACAACTCAACATTATTAAGGTGAGAATTATCTCCAATAGAGTCACTAGATTCAAGAATTCTCAAAAAAAATATAAACAGACATATTTTTAGAATTTTTGAAAACAGATCTGTAACTTATATGGAAATACAAAAGACCTAAATTAGCTCCCACAACTTTAAAAAGGAACAAAGTTGGATAATTTGCACTATCTCATTTCAAGGCATATTATAAAGCTGCTGTGTTCAAAAAGGTGTGGTATTTTCATAAAGATAGACAAGAAGATCAATGAAGCAGACTGGAGAGCTCAGAAATAGATCTACACATATATGGCCAGCTAATCTCAACAAAATCTGTAGTCAATTCTTTGGAGAAAAAACAGTCTGCCATAAGTAGTAGTGGAAGTATTGAAGTACCAAAACAAAACAAGAAACAAAAAAACCTTTTATCTATACATCACACATTGTACAAATTTATTCAAAATGGATCTTAGATGTACATGTAAAATATAAAAGTATAAAACATTTAGAATAAAACATAGGAGAAGATCTTTATGACCTTGGATTAGAAAATGAATTTTAGAATTGGTACCAAATGTGTGGTTCATAAAAAAAATGATAATTTGCACTTCACCAAAATTAAAACTATGCAGCTGAACTAGTATATGACCAGAGATGAACTCAAGAATTGAGGATGTAAGTACAGAACTTGTATCTGCCTCTAAGGGGTGTCCTAGTGTGTGTTTGTGTGGGGAGATTAGAGATAGGACCCGCTATCTAATTCTGTAGACTGATACAGACTAACTTGTGTAAAGTTTGGTCAACACTGAACATAATTGTTGAAGTGGGCAACCAGTAAAGCACTGGGTTATGATATCCTTTAATGCTGAAGTGCTAGAATCCCTTATTTACTCAGGGTTATTAAACTTTCAAAGCCTGGAAGCCAGCACTAAAGTTAGAATAACCCATTTTTCCTGCTTCTGTTGCTTACTGGCTATTTGAGCTAGTTATTTAAACTTTAGAACCTCTAGTGTTCTTATCTACATAGTAGAGCTAATAATATTTGTGTCAAAATATGCATTATTATGACTATTAAATAATATAATGAACTTAAACCACCTAATAATCTTTCAATACATTTTTATTATTGTTTTGCAAAGTAGTATGATCCAAATCGGATTAGATACTATAAAATTTGATTTCCTGATGTTTTAGTGAGTGAGAAAACTTTGTGTGGATTTGTACACAGCAGAGAGAGAGACTAACTGAACTTCAGTGTATGCAGATGAGGCTGAGTCTAAACAACCTGTGAATATTTGGTGACAGGAGAAAGAACCGAATAGTAAATACAATAAAGCTTTGCTGTACTTTGAGTGCTTCCTTCCTCTGATTTTTCCGTATATTTTTACTTTTCCTACCTGTCAAGTTTAAGGAGAAAAGAATGTTTATTCTTTTATCTTTCTTTTTCTTTGTCTCCCATCCCTCAACCAACTATTCCATCAATGTTAGCCCCCAACAATGAGTAGCTTCATACAAGTTATGATGTCTCAAGTCATTGATTTTATTTACATACCTTCTCTACACACCTAGGATCTTGGTAACGGTCCACGCAGGACTTTAAATGCCCACGTTTGACTCTCTTTTTCCTACCTCATCTGAGATTGTGCTGAAACCTCACCTAATACTGTTGCAGGCTACATTAATTTCCCTCCTATTCTTCAGAATACTGGAAGAACACAGAGCAATCAGATTTTCCTGAGCTGCTCTGACTTTTGGCCTCCAGTGTCAATTTTTTTTCAAATAGGCAAATGTGGAAAGTAAGTACCCAGGAGCACCAAGCTTAGCAACATTTGACCAGGATCTGTTTAGAAATGCCTTTGGGAATACAATTACTTAGAACTTTCAAAAACCTACTAATTCTTGCCTTGTCAATTAAGTTTACATTCTGTTCTTCTAAACCAAATTTTCATCAGGCATAGGCATAAAATAGATATTCCTAGGACCTAAATTCTTGTGTTAACTTTTGCAGGAATTCAAAAATACTTTTTGGTTTATTTTTCAGTCTGACCTATTATTAAAGTGTTAAATTGGCATTCAAAATTCCTAGCCTACTTTCCTGAGGAATAAAGATGCACTTCTCCTTGCATTACAGTTAGTTTTAATGAATATTTGAAGTCCACCTCCCTTGTAAACCTGTAAATGATTTAAAGCATGTTGAGATTTACAA